AGCTAATTTCTTAATTTTTGGTAGAGATGAGGTCACACTATGTTGCCCAGGCTGGTCTCAAACTCCTGGGCTCAAGGAATTCTCCTCCTCCCTCAGCCTCTCACAGTCCTGGCATTACAGGAATGAGCCACTGTGCTGACCTTGTCTTTTATTTCTTTGACTTGACACTAGTTGACATAGTTATGCACATAGACTTCAATTCTGCCTATGAATTTTATCTGTTGGGATCCTATATCCACAATTTCTGAATACTGGAATGCTGTAATTTTTAGTTCTTTGGTGATCTCTTTCAGTCCTGTTGCTTTAACTACCAACTACATATTGTCAGCTGGTAGTTATTTGGCCAGCTAGTCCTCTTTCGTGAAACACAGACCTATATGCAGTTGTTCATGTCACATCTCTACATGTGTATCAGACATCTCAAATTAACATGGCCAATAAAATGGCCAATATCCACCACCAAACCTGCTCTGCCTGAAGTCATCTCCATCTCAGTTAGTAGCAACTCCATTCTTGCAAATTATAAAACCCAAATCTGTGGTTTTATCTTTGAATCATTTCTCTTACATCCTGAATTCAATTTTTAAGCAAATCCTACTGGCTTTGTCTTCAAAATATATCCATAATCTGAAAACTTTTTACATCTATTGCTGGCAGGCTAGTCTGTGTCTCTGTTACCCGTTGCCTGGATTATTCCTATAACCTCCCATTTAGATCCTTGCTTTACTCCTTATACCTTATGATCTCTTCTTACTCAAAATAATCCTTTTAGACACTAAGATAAGATATACCATGCTCTTTGCCTCAATCTCTTTAATGATTTTCCATGTCATTCAAAGTAATATTCAAAAATCCTGCCATGGCCTAGAAGGTTCTACGTGATCTATCTACATACTCTGCCCCCAGTAGTTCTTCTCTGTCCTGTGACTCTAATCATTGCTGGGTTCCAGACATGACAGAGTGTAAGGAAGGAGAGGAGAAATAAATGGATCAGAATCACAGTTAAAGTGTTTAGATTCTGTGAGGTTTTTCCCTCAAGCAAAGGTTTTTGCCTGGCTCATTTGTTTTGATAGGATAAGCTTGGTTGTGAAGAAAGAAACACAGCTTCCAGCCATAGCAACCGTGCACACTTTGCCTCCTACCAGGACAAAGACTGGTTGCTTTCATCTTTTGCATTGCAGAATGCTAATGCCACACCTAACACATAGTAAGAAAATTTTAAAATGTTCATTAAGTGTCAAATTACTAGACAACACATAGTTCTTTCAATATTATCGGCAAATAGTTTGAAAAATATCACAAAAGGCATATTTATCAATTAATGATATACCATACTTAATATTGGCTTCCATTACACTCATGCTATATACGAATGCTTTCACTAACACCTCAACATTACCGGTGCTGTTAGTAGTTTAAGGTTGCTCTGCAGCGACCAGGACATTTGATGCCAAGATATGGAGTCTAAGCCTAGACCCCATTTCTAGGCTTCATGCTAAGAATTCCTGAATAGGAAGCATTCTCAATATGGCCCTTATTTGTGTAGCACCTACACTTTATGTCTTTGAATTTATAAGTAACTTATTGGTAAAACTTTCTAAGTCTGGGCATCTATATTTTAACAGATTTCTAAGAATTTATTATTTTCCCGTACTCTACTGACTTAAAAGAGAATTATTTCCTGCATGTTAAAAATATTATTTGTGTAAATAGCTACACCTTTAATTTCTGTGACATGAAGTTATGCAGGCTTTTGACTAGAAACTTCTCCTGAGGCAATTCAAATGTCAGATTGAGGAGCATATTAGGGAGATTCAGCATGAAGTATTATATCCAGTGTGATCCATCATCAAGTCATCTAAGAAGCAATAGTAATGGAATGGTATTTGAAAAGGTGGTGCAGTTGTGGAACAGCATAAGCATCTATCATTTTATCAGAATATAAAAATCTCTTTATAAATTTTAACCTCCAATCATCACTGAATGGTAATGGTCAATGGGGTGCCTGCAATATTTCAACAGTTTCATAAAAATAGCCACAGTTTGAGAATGGCCTGTATGTAAAGATTTTATGATGATATATATTTAGGTCCTCAAGACTAACAGAACATATGTTTTGTTTGTTTTTCTTATTTTTTCATGTGCTACTAATTTATTTTCTTCCAGGTAAAATAAAATGAATGCCAGGAAGCTAAATGGATACTCTGACACCTTTCAAAAAACCCTCAAAATGACCATTTTTATCACAGCTTCCATTCGTACCATTCCTTGCTACATTATTTTCTCTGTTTCTAATGCTTTTGCATCTTGTCTGGAGAATTTCTATATGTTCTTCAAGGATTAGTTCAGGTGCCAATCATTCTCCTGCCTTTTCTGAGGAATCGCCCATTGCAGCCAGCACTAGAGAATCAATCTGCCCTTTCCTTTAAGTTTTCCAAACTTAAAGAATATCTCATAATTTTTGGTAATATCCATCCATATCTTTCCTATTTGACTGTGACCCTCTGGATGCCAGAGACTATATCTTATTTAATTCCAAATCATCAGTGCAAAGTAAATCAAATATTAAGCAATATTTGGGATTTGAAGGAGTGAAAGCAGCTAACATTGTAATGTCTTTAGATCAGTTACTTAAACAAAGCTTCTCTTTCTCCCATAGAAACTATCCTCTGCATTCCTGAATCTCAAGTAAAATACGATTGCGTCCTCAGCTGCAGTCAGAATGCCTCAGCCGATGGGCATGTCATGCTCACTGTGCATTTTCTGGCATCCAGGCTGATACTGTTGTCCAGAATTCTCTACATGTGGATTGCAAAGAGCATTTATAGCAGAAGCTGTCTTACCAACATTAGTAACAAAGTACCTTTCCTCAAAGTGGAATCATCCTACATGTTCTTACCTAGAGTTCCTCAAGCAGAATCTTATCCTCATTGAGACATGGAGAAAACATAATGGAAACATAAGCAGCCCCTTTCCCACATATTATTTTAAATGACAAAACTACCTTGAACCAACACTATTCAAATCACTGCCATCCTCAAATCAAGGCAACTCTTCAGGTGACCAAGGAAGCTTGACCAACCACCATGCTCCCAGCACATACAGCCTCTAAAGCATTTCTTTTATAAGCATTGATCACAAAGGGCTAAACCACTAAAAGAATGGCACGGACTTGAAAAGGAGTGAAAATGAGTTTAACAGATACAGATGCTAATTTCACTAACCTCAAGAGCATTACATAGTTTCAACAAATAAACATGCCTAGTAACATGGTTCCTTGATTTGGTATCCCTGCTCCATCGGAATCATTCGTAGAGGCCACTGAAACAAGTATTTTGGCAATAGAAAGGAACAGTGGCAATGGCTTTAAAACGCCTACAGCAGGAAGCAGAGAGGGGATCTCTGGGTCAGGCTTCAAACTGCAGATTCGTTTGGTTGATGTGGCTGTTGCTGGGTTATGTTATAATTCTATTAGATTTGCTGGGAAGGAGAATACTGAATTTGGGGGTGGGTCTTCTTATGCTGATACTTACCACCACTGACACTTGAGCAATTTAACGCGTTGGAAATTAAGTCTGTGTTTCAAACCCTCTATACTGTGGAACTAAGTGTTCTCAGCTTGTTCTATTTTTGCCTTTGGACCATTTCTTTTTGAAGACGCACTTGAGGAAGATGATAGCATTAATTTAGCTAACAATATTCATTTTGTTTTCATTAGTTGTTTTTGTAGTTTCATATTTTGATGCTTGATCTGATAAATGCATAATACTCAGAGGGTGCCTCTGTTTGTATTAATAACAGCAACTCATTCGCACCTCATCAATGATAGAACAGCTTAGCTTCCCTGTCAAAGGAGCATGAATCAGAAATGTTCATGAGAAAAGGAGTATTTGTAATGCAGATGGAAACTACAGGGAGAGTGGGGATGAAGTGAGTGGAGAGGACAAGTAAACTCTGAAGTGCAAGATACTGCTTGGGGTTAATAGCTGTGTATTCCCTAAACACCTCAGTGACTTGAGCAAGTTACTAAAGCCCTCTAAATCTCAGTATTATTATCTCAAAAGTGAGTGAGGGTCAATTTTATCATTAAAAAAATTATTCTATAATTGTATACTTATGTACATTGAAATTATACTTTTATAAGCTAATTTGTTGAGCAATGATGATCCTTGATTCCTTAACAGAACATTTTATAAGCAAGGATTATATAATACAAGTAATTTTTGGAGTCATTAAGTAATAACAATAACTACCATTTATCGAATGATTATTATGGGCATTATATTTTCCAAATGCATGTTATATGATTAAATTATCACCACCATGCTCTTAGATGAGTATTTCATCCCTGCTTTAAAAAATAATATTTTTATTTTCAAATGGTTTCATGTAACCTTTCACACAACTAGTAAATGGCAGAACCAAAAGTCAAATCCAGGACTCTCAGACTTTCAAACATATGCATTTATCTACATGACCTCTAAGTTAAATTCCAAAACAGTCATATTTATAAAGTTTCATCTTTCAAGTGCACACTGCAATCACATTTATCTCTATGCAACAAAAGTGACACACCATTTTGTTGTCAGCATGAATGTTTATAATATAAAGATGCACTGCTATCCTGCTCTATACAACTGATAAAGCAAGTCAAAAAACATGTAGCTTTACAAATAAAGGCTTTGGGCAACATTCTGAGAATGAAAGAATAAGAATTTGAATTTATTTTGCCAGCAGTTTATGAGTGGACTCAGAATGCCTGTATCCAGAAAAAAATATTTATACTTCTGTTATTATCTTTAGCATATTAAATGAAATCATCTTTACCTATTTGTTTTCCTTATTAGATTTGATATTTCTGAAAATAAGGGAGTAAGTCTTACTTATCTTTAAATTCCTAGTATAAAACACAATGTTATATACAGAATACACAATAAACATTGACTCTATATAAATTAATTACTAATAAACATTTTCCCAAATCTATTCTGAAAATTTACCTCAGTATCTCTTCCTTTGTGGGTCTCTGAAAGACAAAAGTTAAAAGGTAGATATTTAATTTTGTTCAAGTGGGAAGGGAAAAGCTGAGACAGAAAAACGAACTGAGTATTGAAAGTGTGGTTAAACATCCACACTGAGGAGGAAAGAGTGCTATCAGCATAAACTAGATTCAACCAATAGGACAGGTAGCCTGAAAAATACTTCTAAAATTTTGTATATTCTTTATCTGATATAATTTGTAGGAGAAAAATTCTAATAGTGTTTTCTAACAGTGACTTATATTGGCTTCAAGTCCTTTACCCAACTATACCAAAGGGGAACGTGAAAAATTAGTATTTTAGACATTGTTAAGATCTGGATGACCCAAGGAGAACTGAGCCAAGCATCACCTAAAGGAATTTGGTGCTAGAAGACAGAATCAAGCAATTTGGTCTTAAATTTTGACACGAACTCATAAACATGTGAAAAGACACTAGCACTAAGAGTTCTACGGTCTAAGTAGAATCTTTTTCCTTGGTGGTCCTCAGGGACAGGTAGAGCATCTTGCTCTCATTCTCCTTATCCTCCTTACTCATCAGAAGTCTAAATAACATCCCAATGTAGTCATTCATATGGAAAAGAAATCTATAATTACCTCAGGATAGACGTCTCATATATTTAGAGAATATATCCACGTCAGTGGCCATGAGTCATACCAAATCAATGGCCATCACTTTTTAACCATGCTCTTAAAATGATGTATAAAAATAGCCACTTTACTTAAATCCCCGTTGAGTCCTTTTGTTGTCTTTGAATGCTGATTCTGAAGGATTATTTACGGTTTAACATCTTCAATGCCTTATCTCCTAGTGTTTCTCTTATTGTTTTGAATGGGAGAATAAGGAAATCTGCATCGTATTGCCAGGGACTCACATTAACATAAACCATCTTCTTTTCTATATAAAGGTTTCTATTTATTAAAAAAGGAGAATAAAATCAGTCTCTTTTCTGCACAATGAGAATTTTAGGTTGGTGCAAAATTGATTGCAGTTTTGCCATTTAATGGCAATCAATTTTGCACCAACCTAATAATACCCAATAGTGATTTTTGTGTACAATAATTTCATTTTAAGTGATAGTGAAATCATTAGCTAAAGTAACTGTCTTTGTATTCCTTCTGCTTTCACTGTGTCATGAAATAGACTGTGTACTTGATAGTGTCTGAGCTTGTGAAATTCAAGACTTTTGTAGTTTCCCTTCAGTTTCTCCCTGCCCCAGATCCTTTCTCCACCCTCAGATGCCTTTTTCTGTGCTCCACATTGACCAGTGTTCACAGCACCAGCCAGGCCCAACTCTGGCTATTTCCTATGGGTCCAGCCCATGGGAGGCTCTGGCATGAGATTGGATAAAGTAGGGGAGCAAGAGGCTGGGGAATTTTTCCTCTCTCTCTCCCTGCTTTGGGGCAGTGCTGCTCCACAACTATAGCCTCTGCTTCACAGCTCCTTTGCACCAATCAGTTCTCGCATTCTTGGACCACCATTTTCCCCTGCTCCCCTTTGGGCTAGTGGGTAGTATCAGCAACCTACTATTCCTCCATTCTGAGTGTCCTAATGTCCTTTCTGTTTCCTCACCCCATAAGTAATTCCTTCATTAAACTCTCTTCATTGGAGTGGATTCTGTTTCTCACTAGGCCTCACGAAAACAATTGTGAACTTGATAGTACAGCAACTTAAACCTTTCCATTCCAATCCCTTAACTCTGTTGAAGTGTCTATAAAACATAACCTTTCTTCTCTTGGTATAATTGAGGATGGAATGAAACGGTTCAACAATAACGTTGGGTTTCTGTAGCCAGAAAGGATGTTTAACCCTGGTAATCAGGAAGCATGGTAGTGTTCATGAATTCTGTACACTGAAGAACCACTTCCCTTGGGACCCACTCTGGAGCCACCCTTCTTGCCAAAAGGAATGTGGTATCATACCTTTTCTTATTGCAGGGAAAGCAGAGACTAGATACAGCAGTACTCACACAGCTCTCAGAGAGCCATGTGGGCATTTGAGGAAAAATTGAAAGTCAGTAACGCTGATCCCATATTGATTTAAATTTTTGATATTTTTTAAACTGAGGATTTTTTGCATTAATTTTAATTGTAAGTATATTATGTTAAAATTGATTTATCTTGATTACTGGGATTTGGATGTCCCCTTCCTTTCCCACCCAAGCTGTCTCACTATTCTCCCCCTAGTGAAGTTCCTCTTAGAGGGAGACAGAACATTTAAACCTCTCTGAAACTGAAAGGGAGCCACAGCTAGGTTATAGTGAGTGATTAAAGATGTGAGCTTGGAATTTAGGCAGGCCTAACTCTGAATGTTAATCCCACCACTTACTGGCTGTTGCCTTGGGCAAAGTTCTTAAAGTCTGTCTCTAAGCCTCCGCTTCCTCCATTGCAAGATGAAGATAATAACATAGGTCAACAAACGTAATCTGCATTGCAATGTCCAAAATGTTCTTAGAGCCAAAAGACTTTTGGCACAAAAGCATTTGGCACATTTGGCATGCATCTGACACAAAAGCATCTGGTAGCAGATCCTGACTGAAATAAGGTAACTCAATTCATAGCCTTTATTTAATCCTCTTATAAAGTGATTATTTATGGGGTGCTGCCTCAGACCTCACTGGAGGTGGTACAAATTAAATATATGGTACATGCACTATGCAGTTTGACTGAAATCTCAAAGTTCTGAATTGAAAAATTTATATGACCCTGAGGGTTTTGGATAATTATTGTGAACCTGTAGTAGCTCTTCCCAGGGATTCAATGAGATGATACATGAGAGCCAGGGCCCTTGGTGAATGGAAAATTGAGTCTTTCCCAGGACCCCAAAAATCTGAAAGCAGAGATTTGATTCTGGAACATCCACGCCCTGACAATGAGATGTTGCAGACACTGAATTGGGTTCAAGAGGCAAATAGGTTGTTAGACAACTCCATCTAGAAAATGATGGACACCCTGAATATTAAAGGGCAATGCCATGTCAAGAAAGACCCTTTGTACACCTTGTATGGACAGAGTCTCTGGAAGCTGTGGGCTCCCATTAGATTTTGGGGGCAGCCCAGGAAGTTATGCTGAGATTCGCAGCATCTGCTCTTCTCCTGTGTAGCCACCTCCCTTGTGATTAGGTTTGCATCCTTGGCTAATTAGATCAGGAACCTAATCTAACCTTGCAGTATGTGTGTGTGTGTGTGTGTGTGTGTGTGTGTGCTGGACGGGGTTGGGGGGGTCTCTTCCTGTCAATCTGTGACCTGGCTGAAGCACTGCAGTGCTCAATAAACATTGTCCATTAATGTCATTTTAACCATTATGAGTTGCTAACTGGCAACAGGCATTTTTCAGAATTGAAGCTTTCTTAGAAATCAGTTGACTTACAGTATCATCTTTGAGCAATTGCAGATGCAGAGACTAAAAATTTCACAGTAATCATGAATAAAGCTTGATTGAAGAAAGTGAAAATGTCATCCCAGTCTGGGGCAGGATATGAATGGTATCAGCAGAACATGAATGATGAAGAGACATCTAGACTGGACCATAACAGAGACAATTCCCTTAATGATACATGACTAAAGACTTTACCAATTTCCAGTAAGAGTCGGAAGTCCATCTCAAAGCCTACTTTATATTCTTCAGAGTTTCTTGTTTTTAATTTTGCCTAAATAACTTGAGAGAACAGTATAGAGTTTTTATTCCACAGCATGGGCTTAGTCATCTCATTTTTTTAATTGTCTGTTCACTGTCTTCAAAAATAGTTTTAGATAATTAATCTGATCACAGCCTCCCTCTGTAATTTCAATCAGAACCTGGTGCCTAGAATGGGCAAAGCAGACTGGAGTCACTCTTGACTGTAGCATTGAATCTGGGGAAGCTACCATGGAAGGAGAGCCAATGGCTGAAGATACCCGGCATTGGGCTTGCTGATATTAATGAAGAGTGTGTGTACCCCCAGAATTCCCTGACAAGATGGACAAAGAAGCAAATCACTTGACTTCCTGTGTCTCAGTTTCCTTGTTTATAAAGTCAGTAAGTTGCACTATCTTTTTTTCAAACTTTCCTTTTGCAAAAGTCTTCCCTTATATTACTTTTTAAACTAGAAATTCCTAAATATGACACAAAAATAGAGGCTTTCGGTGTGAAGTGAGAGTTGAGGTGCAGCGGTCCTGTTTTCTTTGATGTTATCTGTCTTTAGAGAGCGCTTAAGACTCTGAAGGGTCTTATGAGAATCAACAAGCCAGATGGTTTCCAATAATCCTTTCTGCCCTAGCATTCCCTAATTCCAAAAACCTACCATTCTAATGGCTGTATTTTACTAGGTGTCTAATTCACACAAGGCTTGAATTAAGCATTTTGCACATAATATCTTATTTAAGCTTTAGAAAAACTTTACAAGATGAAGACTTTTTATCCTTTTATACAGATTAAGGAACTGAGACTCTAGAATTTAAATAGCTTTCCTAAGGTCACACAGCCAGTAAATGACTCTAGGATCCAAGCTCAGTTCCGCTGACCACAAAGTCCATATGCTCACCAGTGTGCCTGTCAAAGGATCCAGAGAAAAACACTAGCCTGCTGAAATAAATAGTCTGGCCTGAAACTAAGATTGAAAAGACTTGGGCTTCATAGTGGGTCTTTCCCACTCTATACAAGAGCTTTCTCCTCTTCCCTCTTCTCCCCCCACCCCTCTTCTTCTCTTCTCTCCTTTCTTCTCTTCCCTCCAGACCACCTCTCTAGGACTCTAGAAATTTATACAGGAAACAAGGTCACTGACAGCTGCCAAGTTTCGCAACTTATACCCTCAGAATCCAGAGAGAAAATTCCCAGAGCATTTCCTAGGGGCAGGTGCCCATTTCTGCACCATTCCACTGTGGCCCTATTCCAAGGGGCAGAGTAAGGGTATAATACAGCTTTTCCTGCTACAGCTGGATAGAGAGAGCTGGAGAGGCACAACTACCCTGAAGAAAATGTTAGAAGCTGGGTTTATTTCACAGAAAGATGCAACTGACTAAGTAGAAAAAGATGCCTCTTATTTTTATTTTCTCATTGAAACACGTAATTATTGAGTATTTGTGTTTGTCATGCTGCATGAAGACATAAAAATCTGGAAGTCCAAGAAAGTGTTTTTTCTAGGGATTTCCACTCACTACTTGGACAACGTTGAGAAAATTACTTCCCTCAGTAGTTCAGTTTGTTTATAGGTTGGTAATGCTGTTTATTTGTTGGATTTGGGGGTTTTGGTTTTTAGGTACGAAATAAAAGGATAATTTCAAAATAGTTCTCAATTACTAACATTTTCTACCTTGGCAGATCTGTCCAGAAAATATTTCTAATGCCAAATATAAAATAAAGCATTGGGGGAATCAAAACAGAAATGCTAATAACACTAATTACTTTCACATGTAGTTGCTTGAGGGTTTACACTGGCCGTCTCTCTGTGACTCTGCAGGACAGTTGGTGGTCCAGATGTCATTATGTCATTATTCTTCTATAACGTGAAAACACATCAAGAGGTTAAATAACTTGTTCATAATCACACAAACAACACCATGGGGCCTTGAACTTAGGCATCCTGATTTAGAGTCAGTACACCCTGGACGTTTGTAACAATTTCCCTGGTCATCAGAGACTCTTGATTTTAGTCATTGTCATTTCTCTGTTGTTGGTTCCTAGTTCTAACTAAATGAATACACACTTGACACTGTGGAGGTCTGACAGCCACGTTCTTTAAAGCAATTCACTCAGCATTTTCAGGTGGTGTGATCAGTGGTAGCACCTATAGAAATGCAGCCTCCCTTGTGTTAGGGCATCAGTGTGCAGCTATAGAACTTATATGGCTGGTCTGCCTGAAAGTCTGTAAAGGGAAACTATGAACACCTTATTATATTATGCTCATTGTGGCTCATTGAGTTTTATAGACTTGGGAGCAGGAAAAAAATTTAAAAACCCAAAGTAGGCATTGCCTCTTATTTGTAATTTGCTGTTTTCTCTTCTCCTACTCACCTCTTTTAAACTAAACCAAAAACGTATATTTTCTTCTAAACAAGGTTACTTGGTTAGCATACCCAGTGAGATTGTACCTTGTATAATAAATTCTCTGCTCAAAATGGTCCTAATAGTGCAGTCTTTTCAGCTTCCAGGAGAGAAAAATTAGCCTTAGTTAGAAAAGGCATTTTTAAAATTCATTTTAAATCATTTCAGGGTTAATAACTACATATGTACCTAAGTCAATTTTTGATCAGTATTTAGGTTGGATTACTAGGAAATAATATCAGGACAATTAAATAATAGAATAAACATAACAGTAGCCCACATGGATGTGGCCCTTTTACTTCTCCCTTTTAAAGCTTTTGTCCCTACCACTGAAAGCTAAAATAGCATTATTAAAAGAAATTATTGCCCTCTTAATCATTCAAACTAATGGCCCCTTGATCAGTTTTCGTCATCCTTGAACTCTACATAGCATCTGACTCTAGTGATCACTCCTTCTTAAAATGCTTTCTGCCCTTGACTTTGGAGGGGTAAGGCTATTGCACTGAAGTTCTTTCACCTTTCCGAAACGGCTGGTATCTTCTTCACCTGCTGCCAATGTTAATTTCCTTTTATCTGTATTTACCCCATACCTCAGAGAGCAAATCCAATTTACAGTTTCAAATATCATCAATATGGTAGACCTTAAATGCAAATAATTGCCAGTTTCTTAGCAGAAACAAATGAAATGGGGAAGAAGAGGAACAGGTGCTGACTAATCCAACACTGATTGTTACCCACTGGAAAGAGAATTCATGTTTCCTGGCAAAGGGTCAGATTGACTTAGAGTTTATGAACTGTTCAAAGTTCTATTCTTGTTTGTAAAGCTAATAAAAATCCCCTTGTGCTGCTGGATTTTGGAGAAGTTTCTTTAATCCTCTTTACATAAACCTTTCCTCTTTATTTCTCCTCTCCAAAAACATAGGAATCTGCATCATCTGGATTTGATATCCATATTTATCAATAAGGAAGTTACTGAATTTTGAATAATTTTTCTTCCTTTCATGCCATGCTACATAGAAACAGACTGTGCACAAAGCAAAATCTAAGCAAAAAGGTTTACAACAACTACCTTTTGTGAGAAATAATAAAGTGAGCCAGTTCATGGTAGTTTCATTGATATCTTCCTCAAACCCTGAAAACCTGTATTGGCATAAAGATTTTCCTTTTTATATGAATTGAAATTTCGTGGTTACTTTGAATGAGAGAGTCCTGAGTCGAGTCTCAGACTCAGACAGAGGTTCCACCACTTACTAGTTCAACATCAATTTCTTTATTTGTGAAACAGAATTAGTATTGATGCCTGCTAGGGTTCTTGGGATGATTAAAGGTAATGATGTAAGATGCCTAGAAACATAGTATTCTTTCAATAAATACTACTGGCTCTTAAAGTAGAGTTGAGGAGAAGAACCCAGAGGCTAAAAAAAATCCAAATGGCATAAAGGAAATCAGTCAGTGATTCTACAAAAACCAGGGAGCCTAGTTCAAGACAGACCAAGACACCCTGCATCATACTTCTATTGAGAAGTAGAATAACCTACATAATTACAACTATTACTTAAGTTTTCTCATTTGTATGATAGGGGAAAGAGTTAAACGATATGGCAAAATCCAGAAGGATGGTTGAGAGCTCTGCTGAATGTGAGAGGGAAACTTCAGAACTATAAGGACTACCTAGATGGTTTGTTGCTTCATGCAAGGCTGTCAGATAGGTGTTCGTTTACTTACTTGCTTTTATTAACTTGGATTATTTGGTCTTAGCCTTATGGAGTATATTAGTTTCTGGGATAATGGAAATAATTTAAAGGTGGATATGGGCAGAGCATAGTTTAGTGAACCTGATCAATGAACTTTGCCAGCCTAGATGCCGGAAGTAAGGTTAGTTGCTTTGGACTTGCTATTCCTGGTAGTCTACGGTATTAATATTAGGCTACATTTGCTGTACTGCCTCGGTAAGCTTTTAAAATTTCCCAAGTCTCTAAAACAAACTTTGAGATGAACCCTTTGTGCTCCAGCAGTTCTCTGCAGAAGCCTTGGTAGACCCAGGTCTTCATGCAGTGAAAGGATGCTTCCCTGGCTACAAAAATCAAATCAATCACCAAACATAGCAGAGGAAACTTAGGCTGCCTCATATTGATGTCAAGCTAAAGACAAGAGAAAAGAAATCATCTTACTGTGTGGGGATGAACAATAAAATCTTGGCAACTGACCTCTGACTGAGTTGTTATCGAAAAATGCTATTTGTTTCCCTCAGCCAATTGAATCATGATACCTCCTGTGTCCTGGAAAAATATCAACTGCAGTTAGAAGGGGGGGGGGGGATAAAAGAAGAACTGAACAGAATGTTTGATTAATTAATGAATTCATCTTAATCATATCTTTAGCAGACACCTGAAAGAGTAGTCCTATCACAAATGTTACAAAACAACTACCATGTTTTAGATTATTATTAGAAAGCCTTGGACAAATCTCCTAGAACATCATACTATTTAATTAGTTTTCAATTATCCAGAGGTGGATTATTGCATTTGCAATGGTTTGTACCTCTATTCTCCTTCTACTCTCTCAGGCGGACTGCCTTTTAGCTATTATAATGTCTGTGTGCATTTCCAGGAGAGAATTGGCAGAAAGAGACATCAGCAAGCATATAAATTGAAAGACTCATAAATTGAGGAGACAGTGAGTACTTTGCCTAAAAAAGGCTTGTGTATTATCTGTAGATCTAAAAATCTCAAGCTCTCCTATGAAGTCATATTATGATGCCCTACCAGCTAAGGGCTTTATATCATCGGCCTTCAATAAATATTGGTAAAAAGAAGGGATAGCATAGTGGTAAAGAGCCAGGTGGTTAGGTCACCTATGTTCACATTCCATCTCTAAACTTGGGGCTGATTGACTTACTTAACATCTCCATGCCTTAGTTTCCTTATCTGCAAAGAGCACTGTGGTACAGTGTATTGCTATCAAAATATGTCCTAAAGGGGCAAAGTCTGAAGATGAAGATAAGGCACAGAAAAAGACTGAATTTCTGACATTTTCACAGCTCCCAATCAATAGCACTAAGGGCAGCTATCCATGGTGGAGAAAACATATTCACCTTCTGATATAGAAAGTCCATGAACCATGGAACATTTCCCCCAAGCACTGTCAAACTAGTGTGACAAGTTGTCCCTGAAGAAGGTGACTCCACAACGGATGTCTACATCTCTGGGCAGGAAAGGATCATCTCTGTCTTCTCAAACTGTACTCTGTTACCGTTTTTCAAACATCAAGAAATGTTTCACAGAATTTTATATAACTACCCAGTTGTGAGTGACAAGGTACTCAACTTCCTATCATGCTCAGGCTGCTGAAGAACTGAAATATGGAATATCTGATACACGATATAGCTAAATTGTCCAACATGGACTTTAAAGGGAGGATCTTAATAATTCCTTGGAAAATAGGTAGAGATCCCAAGAATACAACTACACTATCACTGAGGAGATGGGAGATCAAACCTACATAAGCCTGTGTTATTGAAATAAAATAGAAAATGGAGAAGCTATGCAAGAAGAATATTTCAAAATGAGAACATAAATGTAGCACACTGAAACTAGATTAAGAAGTTTGACTCTGGAATATTTTTTAGGCAGAAAATGCTCTGCACTTGAGAAAATTAAGAGAAACATAGACTTTGCAAGGTGATAGATAAGATATAAGATTACAGATTGAGATGAATTAAAGAAATAGCAGAACTAAAGAAAAATAAACAAAAAAAACTTCTCTTGAAAATGATCTCTCTTTAAAACCACCAGAGCAGCAAAATAATCCGAGAGAGAAAATTCTATGTTCAATGAAACTAGGAAATGGCTACAACCCAACCAATACGTTTTTAACAAAATTGAGATAGAGCACAGAGTGCCAATATATTGTGATACTTCTAACCCTGAGAAATGATCTGGAGATCAAAAAGGGGAAGGAGATAAAGAAGTAGTTAGTTGTATTGCTGCTAAACAGAGTCAGCTGAGCTGAATAAATAAACACAAATTGTCAAACAAAAGATCTGAATATACAGGGCTTCCCTCAGCCACTCCTATCTCCCATGCAGCAAAGAGCATGCTCACTGTGGTAGGGCTTTTCTTTGGATTTTAGACTCACCCAATCGGAGTCTTTAGGAATGGTGCCCAGGAATCTGCTTTAACAGCATCACAGAGCCTTTATGAAAAGGGAATTGAAGGACTATGCTAAGTAACATAATAATATAAAATACTAATATATGTTTATATCTATTAAATGGCAAAATACAGCATATATATGTCATTAGATACTTTATATATTGCCATAAAAATGGGGAATTCAGCATAAAGCATCTGTAGATCATCAGATCACTTAGAAAATGTGACTGTATATTAACTCTCAAGGAAAACATTAATAGAGACCAAAAAGTACAAATAATTTATATTAATTTTCATCTAG